GTGTCAACCCCCAACGTTCAAAAATTGTGAGATTGGCTTTAAAATTGTGAGGTTGTGTACAAATAATAAATTTGGTGTTTTTTATTCACCTTCTGCTATTTGAGCGTTTAGGGTGCACTGCGGGGGGTGTCTCATTTTGAAACTTTCTCCACAGCCATTAGGGCTAGAAACTTCATTTTTCTTTAAGAAGGAAGGCTGAAATCATCACATTTCCACCTGACTCCAGAAGCTGGGGCTTTAAGGAAAACAATCATTCTCCTGAGGCTCATGACAAAATCACGAGAACTGGCCATGCTGCTTTCACTTTGGTTAAAGGCTAGTTACTTTCTAGAAGGCCCTTCAACACAACACTACAGTGATTGAGTTGCAGTTCTCACAGGAGAATATTTAAAACCAAACACCAAGAAAATTCCAGATTTCAAAGTTGAGGGGAAAAAATGAGACTTCTGAGGTGTATCAAGGCCACTGCAGGCAGGAAAGGAAAATAAACAGGCCCAGGAGCTCTGGGCAGCTCTTCCACTTGAAAGAAAGTTGGAAAGTCAAATCTAGTCCTTAATTCAGTAAAGCAGCACCTTCACTCATAGATGTGCTGAATAACTATGCACTTCATACTTAAATAGCAGAGTTATCTTATCCAGAGCTACACACTGGCTCAGAGACTGTATTTACTGGTATATTCTGAACTGTGCTGAGTACACAGGTGGATGCCCAGTGAATAATACAAATCATGACAGTCGTCGACTTTATGGACTCTGAGGATGCTATTTCGGTTCTTTGCTCTGGAATTGGCCTGGATCCAGCTGCAACCCTAAGAATTTGAGGCAGGAACACACCTGATACTCCTACGACACTTTCTCATTCCTTCCTTTTCGCCAATGCAGAACAGAAAATGACAAAACAAAATGGTTTTCAGTTAAAGTGTAAAAATGCACAGCAGCCATTGCTCTACAGCCCAGCCTGGGGCAGACCGTGCCACCCCTTTGGGGCTCAGTGATTGTCTCTCCTCTCTCTTTCTCTCTTCATCCTTCCTGACCTCTCTGCTTCTTTGCATGCTGTCAACCAGGATGTCCTTCCCAATCGCCTGGGACCATTTGCTGGAGTCTCGGAGAACCGGCTGCCATATTTTGCTCCCATCTCTGAGTCCTCTTTTTCTGCAGCATGCAGCAGATAGGTGCAGTGGATAGGGAGCTGGCCCTGAGAGACCTGGATTCTATCCCCCATGTACGACATCAGGCCAGTGCCTTAGGGACTGAATTTCAAAGGTTTTTAGGCACCCAAAGGTGCAGCTAGGCATCTAGTGGGGTTTACAAAACATCTAACCTTCTAGGCACTCTAGAAAATCCTACTAGCTGCCTAAACACTGTTCAAAATCTGGCCTTTAGTCTGTGTGTGCCTCAGTGTCCCATCTGTACAATGGGGATAACAGCACTGCTCTACCTCACCGAGGGGCTTGAGGAGGTTAGACCTTGTCAGTGTGGGAACCTCTCTATACCACTGCTAGCCCTTCCCTGGGTTTTGGCCCCTTCTTTTCACCTATGCCCCCAAATCTCCCCCTTTTCTGAATGTAACCTTTACTCCTGGGGGAATTCTGTGCCACTGCGCGATGCAGAATTTTGCAGAAATTAAATGTTGTGCACGCAGAATGTCCTTTCCTCCACAGAAATGGGCTGAAATGCTGCTAGCTGCCACTAGGGGCTGCTGGACCCAGCAGTTCCCAGCTCACACATAGGGCTGGTCTACACTGCGGGGGGATCGATCCAAGATACGCAACTTCAGCTATGCAAATAGCGTAGCTGAAGTCGAAGTATATTGGATCGAATTACCTGGGGTCCAGATGGCGTGGGATCGATGGCCGTGGCTCCCCCGTCGACTGCGCTACCGCCGCTTGCTCTGGTGGAGTTCCGGAGTTGATGGTGAGCGCGTTTGGGGATCGATATATCGCGTCTTAACGAGACGCGATATATCGATCCTGGATAAATCAATTGCTACCTACCAATATGGCGGGTAGTGAAGACGTACCCATAGACGACACTGCTGGGGGGAGGGAACCCTGGGCTCTGAGGTTTGGGGCTGGAGGCGGGTATCTGGGCAAGGGGGGCCCTGTGGCTGGGCTTTGGGGGCATGGGGGTGCAGGTATTTGGGCAAGGAGGGGCCCTGTGCCTGGTCTCTGGGGGAAAGGGGGTGCAGATATACTGGCTGGGGCAAGCATGGCTGGGCTCTGAAGGGCAGAGATTGTGGGGGTCTGGCCCCCCGGCTGGGCCCTGGGGAGGATGGGAAGGGGGCAGAGAAACAGAAACTGGGTTGTCATAGGGGTTTCTTTAACTCTCTACTCCTGTGGGAATTTTTGTGTGTCTGGGGGTGGGGGAGCTAGAGACGGTTACACTACACCAGTGGTCTCCAATCTTTTTACACACAAGATCACCTTTTGAATTTAAGTGAAACCCAGGATCTACCCTGCCCCTTCCCTGAGGCCCTGCCCCACTCACTCCACCCCCGCCCCGTCCCATGCTCTCCCGCACCCTCACTCACTTTCACTGGGCTGGGGCAAGGGGTTGGGGTGCTGGAGGGGGTGTGGGCTGGGGCTGAGGGGTTTGGGGTATGGGAGGGGGCTCTTGGCTGAGCTGGGGCAGGGGGTTGGGGTGCAGAAGGGCGTGAGGGGTGCAAGCTCTGGGCTGGAGTTTGGGTGCAGGAGGGGGCTCAGGGGCTGGGGTTGGGGTGTGGGAGTCGGTGCGGGGTGCAGGCTCCAGCCGGGTGGCGCTTACCTGGGGCGGCAGTGCAGAAGGGCTAAAGCTGACTCCCTGCCTACCCTGTCCCCATGCCACTCCTGGAAGCGGCTGACACGTCCCTGGGGGGGTGAGCGTAGCTCTGCGCCTTGCCCCTCTCTGCAGGCACTACCCCCGCAGCATCCATTGGCCGCAGTTCCCCGTTCCCGGCCATTGGGAGCTGCGTGGATGGTGCCTGCAGACAGGAGCAGTGAGCTAAGACCCCCTGTCCTCCCCCCACCCCCCCGCCCTGCCCTCCCCAGGGGCTGCGCAGCAGAGACCTGCTGGCCACTTCCAGGAGTGGCACGGGGCCAGGGCAGGCAGGAAATCTGTCTTAGTCCCGCTGCACTGCCAGACATTTAGTGGCCAGTGATCACGACTGACTCTTAGAGGCTCCAGGATCCACAGGTTGGTGACGACTGCACTACACTGTAGGGCAATCCCCCAAAGTGACTTCTTTGATTCTGCTCTTTTTCTAGAGTTTGGCACCGAGATGCTGTTACGGGGAGAGTTTAAAACTGCCCTGGGTGGGTTTAGTTCTGCTGGGACGGGCCTGGCCTGGATGGTAATAAACTAACTGGGTTTCTTCCCAGCATGGCAGAGTCCAGAGCCTCTATCTGCAGGAAGAGTGCCTGGGGGGAATCGGGGTGTCACATGGACTAAAGCCCCTTCTGAACACACACCCCTCCCCATTGCCCTTCTTGCCCCAACAGGCTGAGGAATCACGTCCACATTTCACTCCAGATTGACTCGTCTTCCAGGAGACAGGGCAGGGAAATGGCTGTGATGGAGCCAGCTCAGGTAGGGGATTTTTGAGGGAGCTGCTGGGTGGGTGGAGGGAGAGGCAGGGAGGAGACAGGGTATGATAAACCTGCTGATTTTTGGAGCTGGCCCATTGGCAGCAGGGAAACATTCCCACATTTCTGAAACAGGAAACACCCCCCTCGGCAGGCCTGGGAACATTTTCCAGACTCCCAGTGCTGGAGCCTGAACCCACTAGCCAGGGACTGCTGTGAAATACGAAGGGAAGCTGTTAAGATTTCTGTCCCTGTCCACGGCTCAGAGCTCTGCTTCCCATATCAGCCTGTCGCTGGCAGGTGTGTGGGAAATGAGAAGAGCCTGCTCTGCTCCATGTGCTGGGGGGACAAGGAGCTCTCACCTTCTCCCCACCCCCTGAAGCCTCCTGGCTGCTCTGAGCAGGGTGGGGGTGGGATTCTGCTTTTCTGAGCCTCCCAGAGCTTCCAAGATGTTTATTTTTCTTCTTCCTTTCCCGTGTGACCAGTGGGATTGTGGCTGGGGCAGCAGGTGCTGAGTGGGGGACTCTTGTTGTTTCAGATGCCGGTGACCTTCGAGGAGGTGGCTGTGTATTTCACCCAGGGGCAGGGGGCTCTGCTGGACCCTGCTCAGAGAGCCCTCTACAGGGACGTCATGCGGGAGAACTATGAGACGGTGACCTCGCTGGGTAAGGGATCCCTGCCCCCTTGGTTATTAGAAAGTGTAGGACCTGCATTTCTAACTCTAGTCAGGTCCTTCCCTGATCAGTTAGATTGGAGGGGAATGGGTTCCATAATCCATAGCTGCCGTGTGAGAGAGACTTGCATCTCCAAACCCCCTTCAATTGGACCAGAGTGTCAAAACGGACATGCTAAACCCTCCCCACTCCTCCAGCTATCAAGGCCGAGAAGCCATGTATTGTCCTGTGTGTATTGTTTCTCATTTGAGCACAGAATCCCTTTTCACCTCCCTCCTTAGGACTAGCTCCAGTCCTGGGGAGGGCTCTGGGCTCTGCAGGGGTAACTCCAGAGCTGTGTGTGTGTCAGCAAGGCCCCCAAAGTGCACAGATCCTGGGAACTGCTAGTGAGGGCGTAAAAATTATCTCCACCTCCCCAGACATCTGCCTCTCCCAAGGGAGCTCAGTGACCATGTTCCCATCCCTTTGGATTCCATGTTCTACCAGCACAGCACCGGGATAGGTTCAACTCACGGATTGTCCTTTGTGACAGACAAACTCCCAATCTTCCATTCACCCTGATCTGGTCTGATTTCCCCCCCTGCACAGGATTCCCCCTTCCCAAACCTGACTTGATTGCCCGGCTGGAACGAGGGGAAGCGCCGTGGGTCCGGGATCTCCAGGCCTCAGAGGAAAAAGAGATCCCAAGGGGCACTTGCACAGGTGAGGACTGAAAGAAATCATTGGACGAATGAAGGAAAAAGTTGAGAATCCCAGAAATGTGGTGCGAGAAAGAGCCGTCAGTTGTTCTTCATGTCAGCCAGAGTAGGGCTGTAGTCAGCAGATATTGCTCACATCTTTCCACCCGTCCTGTTAGCTGCAGGAGTTCCCTTCCCGACTTTCCTTCTGTGTGCATGTTTGGGTGGGAAGTGGAGGCAGAATCCAATTGCTGATTCTTCGCAACTTGCGTGTGTTGGGTTTTCCCTTGGTGCCAATTCTCTTTCTCCACAGCACAATGACTCCTGTCTGGATTGTCTCTCTCTCCCAGCAGGTGATGAGAGAGTGAGTGAGAACGAGGAGGGGAATCATCATGAAGAAGTTTCTGGGGAAGTGGAACCAAAAGGGCCCTTTGTGGGAAGAGCTGAAGGGAATTTTTCCCAGTGCTGGGAAGAAGCCTGGGGAAATTGGCACAGGTCAGAGAAGCTCCTGGGAAACCACCCAAGGAAGAAAGTAGATGAATCTATTAAATGCGGGGGAGGAGACAAGGATCCCACAGTCCAGCAGACAAATCCCAAGGAAGAGAAACCCTACCACTGTCTCCAGTGTGGGAAAGGATTCATTCTGAGATCACACCTTGTGATACATCAGATAATCCATACTGGAGAGAAACCTCTTCAATACTTGCACTGTATGGAAAGCTTCAATAACCACTCAGATCTTAATAACCATGGGAGAAGCCACACGGGTGAGAATCCCTATCAATGCCTCGAGTGTGGGAAACGTTTCAGTGGGGAGTCAGCACTAATTATGCATCAGAGAATCCACACAGGTGGGAGACCACATAAGTGCTTGGACTGTGGGAAAGGTTTCACACGGCGATCAGGCCTGGTTACACATCAGGCAATCCACACCGGAGAGAGACCCCATAAGTGCTTGGACTGTGGGAAAAGTTTCACATGGAGATCAGGCCTTGTTACACATCAGGCAATCCACACAGGAGAGAGACCCCATAAGTGCTCAGACTGTGGGAAAAGTTTCATGCAGAGATCACACCTTATTAGACATCAGACAGTCCACACAGGAGAGAGAGCTTATAAATGCTTGGTGTGTGGGAAAAGCTTCAGTAACAGCACAAACCTTACTAACCATCGGAGAATCCACAGAGGAGAGAGACCCCATAAATGCCTCTACTGTGGGAATGGTTTCCGTTGGAAGTCAGCCCTCATAATACATCAGAGAATCCACACAGGAGAGAGACCCCATAAGTGCTTGGAGTGTGGGAAAAGTTTCACACAGAGATCAGCACTTGTTACACATCAGACAGTCCACACAGGAGAGGGACGCTATAAATGCTTGGAGTGTGGGAAAAGTTTCAGTTGGAAGTCAGACCTTATAACACATCAGAGAATCCATACAGGGGAGAGACCCCATAAGTGCTTGGACTGTGGGAAAAATTTCATACAGAGATCAACCCTTACAAGGCATCAGAGAATACACACAGGAGAGAGACCCTATAAATGCCTCGAGTGTGGGAACTCCTTCAGTTGGAAGTCCGATCTTATCACACATCAGCGAATCCACACAGGAGAGAGACCTCATAAGTGCTTGGACTGTGGGAAAAGCTTTAGATGCAGCTCACAACTCACTCAACATCAGAGAACCCACACGGGAGAAAGACCCTATAAATGCCTCGAGTGTGGGAAAAGTTTCATTGGGAGTTCTCATCTTGTTGCACATCACAGAATTCACACTGGAGACAAACCTCAGAAATGCCTCAACTGTGGGAAATGTTTCAGGTGGAAGTCTGCCCTTATAACACATCAGAGGATCCACACAGGAGAAAGACCCCATAAGTGCTTGGACTGTGGGAAAAGTTTCACAAACAGATCAGCCCTTGTTTTACATCAAAAAATCCACACGGGAGAGAGGCCCCATAAGTGCTTGGAGTGTGAGAAAAGTTTCACACAAAGATCATGTCTGATAACACATCAGATAACCCACACTGGAGAAAGACCCCATAAGTGCTTGGACTGTGGGAAAAGTTTCACACAGAGATCAAACCTCATTAAACATGGGATAATCCACACAGGATCTAAACTTCATAAATGCCTTGCCTGTGGAGAAAGCTTCATTCAGCGATCACACCTCATTAAACATCAGAGAATCCACAAAGGTGTGAGATTCAATCTGAGCTCACACATCAGTGATCCACAGAACAGAGAGATCTTGAATGCGGTGGAAGCTTCGTTTGGTGCTCCTGGAGTATCAGGCATCTGCAAATCTGCATAAGGAAGAAACCTCTGAGATGTTCTCAGTGTGGAAAATGCTGCAAGTGGAGCTAACACCATGTTGGACATCAGAGACTCCTCCAAAGAGCACAGAAGTTCTCTCAGGGCCCTGACTAGGGCTGGCCATGGTGACCAACCCGTTTCCTCATTCCCACACACATCAGTTGCATTTGCCTCCCAAGGATCTATCTGCCCATTGCTGGGGTGAAGATACAGCAGCAGCTGATCATCAGCTGGTCAGTGACCCGCTGGCTCTGCCTGGTCTAAGCAAACCCCAGGCAGAGGAGGAGAAGCACCGATCAGCCCCTCCCCCCTGCTGCAGCCCTGGCTGCTGAGCTGATGGGCCGCAGGTGAGGGAAGGGAGAAAGACGACAAATTCCTCCAGACACTCCCTCTGCCTGGCTGAAGTTCCCCCCTCTCCCTTCCCCTCCCAGCCGGGATCCCCCCTGCCATAGAGATGAGGAGAAGGACACTTGGTCCATGCCCCACCTTCACTCTAGACACCTGTCCCCACCCCCCATCTTCCACCAGCCCCTGGGCTGGGCTCCCCCACTTACCTGGGGCTGTTCTCTGCAGAGGGTGTGTCCCTGGGGGCTTGGTAACCCCTCCCCTCCCTAAATTCCTCAGGATCAAACGTTAAGGGACCTCCCCATAACCCATTGGTTATGGGGAGGAAACTGGGGATTGAATGGTTGGGCTGGGGGAGCTGAGAAGCAGGCAGAGCTGGGTGCTGGGGCTATCGAGTGTTTGGACATCATGGGATCAGAGGTGAGGGAGAGCACAGGGGTAGAGAGGTGCTGCCTCTCCTCACTCACCCCCTCTGCCCCTTCTCCCTGCCCTCTGTGGATTCAGACAGCACCACTGAGAGGGGCTGATTCCCACAGGGCCTTTTGTGGGAGGCCTGGAAATCCCACCTCTGCCTCCGCAGCATCAGCCTCTGAATGTCTGTCTATGGTAGAAAAATGGTTGGGATTAGCTAGCACATCTTCCCAGACTCTCCAACACTCCTTCTAGTCACATTGACCCTAAGTATATTAGCTATTCCGATCCTCTCCGTGAGCAGAGTGATCGTTGGTCCCGGAGTTCCCCCTTTGGGGCCTGATTGTCTCATTCCCAGATAGCCTCACATTACTCCAGGCCATACTGAAAAGCATTGAGTGTTTGTATATTATTCTCCCTGAGGGAGCAGAGCTAAACAGATGCTAAAAAAGTGGGGAGCAGGGACAGTGAGTCCGAGGGATTCCCTCCTACCCCCATCACTGTCACGCTCCACTCTCGACACAGCAGCCTCCATCCCAGCAATGGAGAGTTTTATCCTGTCCCCGTTCTACCCCTCCCCCACTTACCACCATGTCCCTGTCTCTCCATGCTTAAGAATCAGTTTTGATTTCTATGATCCTCCATGAGACTTCTGAGGGCTGGAGAAGAAATCGTCACAGACTTGCGAGGGAGGGGAAGGGAGGAATCCCAAAGAACCTCAAAGTACAGTTTGAGCTTCCTGATGTGTTTCCATCTATTGGTGAAATTGCTTCCAGGTTTTTTCTGTGCTAGTCCAGATCATTTGTAGATGGGAAGGGTTTTTGTTTGTTTGTTCATTTCTTTTATTATGACGATGCTAAAACTTTTGTAACTAATACAACCAAATTATTAGGGAAGAAGTGAAGCCAGTTTAGCCACTTTAGACGAAAATTTATTTTCCTGATTTTGAGTCTTCAGATTCTCTTTCACTTTATGAATGTAAAAGTGTTTTATAACCCACCCTGGAGTGTGGGTTTTTCTCTATTCCAGAAGGCTGTTTGGTCACAAACTTTGATATTAGTTTAGTTTAGACGTAGCTTAGATTTATTGAGGACTTAATGAGACGAATGATCATTGGCCAGTACAATCCTTTTTTTATTTTATTTTAACGTTTTTCTACCCTTTTGTGATGTGAGTTTAGTTTTATTTGAACAATGGCAAAGGTCAGTATGTCTCAGCACAGACACTCCTGTTGCCATAGTGTTGTCTGCACCAGAAGTTAGCTTGGTACAGCTGTGCCGCTTGGGGAGGGGGGTGGAATTTCACAACTGATGCAGGTTGCATGCGCAGATCACGCCTCTGAGTCAGGAACAGGGGAGGGTGGGGGAACAGAGCTGGGAAATGGCTGGGTTTGCTCTTCAGAGCCAGACGGCTGAGAACTGTGAACTCGCTGCATCAGAGCCAGAGAGCGACTAGCCTTGGCCTGTGAGTGTCATGCGAAGCTTTCCCTGCAATCTAAAGGACCATGAATAACACCACAAAAATGATGGGGGGAGGGGAGGGGAGCAGCATCCCCCTATTGAGATGCCGAGGTTGGGCGATCAGAAGGGAGGATGTCAACAGACTTGGGCAGCCTTGAAGCCAGGCCGACCACCATCACTGAGGGCAGAGGGAGAAGAGGAGCCCTAGAGCCCTGCTGGTCACCCCTCCCCATCTACTGCAGTGTCCTGAGTGGGAACAAGAGAGACTGTCTCTGCCCCTCTCACTCCACACTGCATCCCTCCTACCGGAGCTCTTTAGATTCCCTGCTCTCGGAGTCTTTCCTTTTGTGACTGGGTCCTAGCGTCTCTCATGGCTTCTCGCCACTTTTCTACCATTTTTACGTGTTGCACTGTTGTTGGTTCTTGTGGGAGTTGGACACGGCATTGTGCTGGGATGGAACAGGAAAGTACCCGCTGAGCTGGGCTGTGGGTGGGGCACGGAGTCTGTCTTTGTTCGTCCTTTGGAATAATAAAGTAGAATTTAGTTTCTCCCACGGCCAGTCTCCTTCGTTTTGCATTAACGACTCAGAGCTGCAATTGGACTTAGGTGCCTAAAGCCCAGGTTTTGACCCCTGACTCCCAGAATTAGGTGCCACTGAAATCCAGAAAACCTCGGCCTGGCTGCTCACTCAGCACCAACATTCTATGGTTAAATTTCCCAAGGTTCCTAAATTTCTGCTTCTGGGCCTGGGCACTGCTGCTGCCTCACTCCAGGCGTCCAGACACCTGCCTCACACCTAAACCCCAGAAGGATCCTCAATCAGAAGGTTGTCAGAGGAAAGCCTATCTTGCCTGTGGGGCCCTGTAGCGAGGCGACAACTCACCCGGCGGCACCTCCTGTTGGTCGTCCAGGGAATTAGCTCTTTCCACTCAGGCGTGCCCTCTGCAGGCCAGTGTCTCACCTGTCTCTGGCTCTGGTGCCCCCCCTTCCGGACTCCATGCCCCTTTTCTCAGGGTTCTGCCCCTGACCCCACAGTCTCCCTGGGTCTCCCTTCCCTGGGGAACGCCCAACCCCCTATCCCCACCTCGCCTCAGTCTTTGGCTACTGACAGTCACCATCTAGCCCCTGCTCACTGGGGCGGACGGCAGTATAATCGCTATTCATCATCGGCAAGGAGGGTTTGGACCTGCTGCCTTTGCCTACCCTTGGGTTGCCCCTCTGCAACCCCCAGTACCTTTTTTGGCCTTTAACAAGGCCTGCAGCCTGGGGGTTTTCCAGGCTGGAGCTCCCCAGCTCCTCTGGCCTTCCCCCAGCCCTGCTCTACTCTAGGTACCCCGCTCAGTTCCCAGCAGCCAGGCCTGTCCCTCTCAACAACTAGAGACCAACTGACCTAGCTCCAGCCTAGCAGCACCTTTATAGGGCCAGCTGTGGCCTGATTGGGGCATAGCCCCAGCTGAGGCTGCTTCCCCCAATCAGCCTTTCCCCAGCCAATGTCATCTCCAGGGCTGCTTTTAACCACTCCGGGCAGGAGCGGGGTGACCACCCCGCTACACCCCCCTCCAATCCCCACCCCTCTGGTTGGGGGGGACCCTCGGTTTCTGTTCCTCAGAGCTGCCCTTCCAGGGCCTCCTGCCTCATCTCTGAGGCCTCCCAGCATTGGGCCATCTTCTGGGTCTGAGCCTCTGCCTTCTGGCGGGCCACCTCCATGGCTGCCAGCCATGCCCGCAGGTAAAGGTCCCCCAGGCCCTCTTCCTTCAGGGTCTGGGTTCCCACTGCTACCTGCTGTACCCCCACCTGGGTCCTGGCCTCCTGCAGGGCCCAGTCTGTCTGGGTTTCCTGGTCCGCCTTCCCCCATGGGTGGCTCCCGGGCAGGTCTACTGCCATCCCTGGAGCAGCTACCTGGCTGGTCCCTGACCCCTTTAGGTCCTCAGGCCCCTCCACCAGAGGTTTCCCTCCTCCTAGGGGGCAATCCCTCTTTATGTGGCCCCATTCCCGGCAGCCAAAGCAGGCTTGCCGCCCCTTTGCTGCCTTGGGCTCCGGCTTCTCCCTGGGTTGCCCTGGACTGTGGTCCTTGGGGCAGGGCACTCCTTCCATAGGTGACCCCACCACCCACAAGCCCAATACCTTCTTTGCCTCCTGGTTTCCCTTGCCAGGGAGCCTCTTGTAGGGGCTTGTCCCTCCCCCTGTCCTGGGTGAGGCTCCCTGCCCCCATCCCAGCAGGGACAATTTGCCTGTACATGTCTGCGCTGCCCACAGTTGTAACACACCCAGCGCTCTCCCCCGGGCCTCCTGTTCCCAGTGCTGGGCTTCTCCCACCAGTCTCGGTGGTTCCTCTGAAACTCCTGTTGGAGGAGTTTTACCAGGCCCGCTGTTCCCTTGCCAGCTGGCCCAACTGTTCATGGAGGGCCCTATGCACCTCGCATAGTCCCTTCTGGGTCTTCTGGATCCCCTGCAGGTCATCAGCCCCCTTCTGCTGGGGTGCTGATACTGGGTCCCAGCCAGGGGTGGCATTTGGGGTCTCTGCATAGACAACCCCGGTGTATCCAGGATCCATCATCCCCTGTAGCTTTCACGTCTCTGGGCAATAGTCCCGCTGTCCTTGCCCTGTCCCTTGTATTGGGGGCGGCCTGCCTATGCCCGCATTCTCCACCAATCAACAACAAGCGAGTGACTGACCTAGCTCCAGCCTAGCAGCCCCTTTATAGGCCAGCTGTGGCTTGATTGGGGTGTGGCCCCAGCTGAGGCTGCTTCCCCCAATCAGCCTTTCAAACTTTTAAGCTTCTCCAGCAAGAAACTTGTATAAAAATAAAGAGAGAGAAAGAGAGTTTCTCCTGTATTCGCAGGATTCCAGGAGCTGGGGCTTTAACAAAACCAAAAGATATTGAAAGAATCCAGATGACATTAAGAGAATTTGTGAAACACCCTTGTGATTTGGTGTGGAAAGGGAACAGCCTCACTTCTTATCATTGCAGATACCTTTCTGTCCCCCGTCACTGCTCTATCTGGGCACCTCACAATCTTCAATGTGCTTAGCCTTCAGAGGCACCATTTCAGATTTTGGTGCCGGGCAGCTGGGGGCATCTTTAACTATGATTCCCAGGGCTATTTGCTATTGCATCAGTAGTCCACAGTCACTTAAAAACTAGCCCAAAAGTAGCCCAATCTATTTATTTAAACAATTTTTTTAAATTAACACTATGGTCTATGCCTTTAAAAATAATCACTATCTAGAGTACAATTAAATGATTGATGTTAGCAGCACAGATCTATAACAAACAAAATTTGCTGGCCCAATTGTACAAATTGTTCAGATTGGTTTAGGTTTATGTTCACTGAAGGGTTTATACAAAGAGTTATGATAAATACAAAGGATTAAGCTG